TATTTAGACATCTTTTAAATGAGGGAATACTTGCGTTTAATATCTATTAAGCCCCCGTTTGGCCTCCATTATATTTTATCAAATTTAATTAAATTTTTCTCTCTCCTATTTTAAATCACACAATTTTCAATAAAATAATATTACATGTAAATCAAAAACTTTTTATTTTTTTACAACCATCCATTTTTCAAAAAAAAAAAAAAATTCACTATTTCCACATTATAATTAAAATTAATGGGGGCCAAACGGAGGCTAAATAAAGAGCATTAGTAGACAAATTTATTGGAGACATCTTTTAAATAAGGAAAAATTTGCATTGAGTACCTATTGAATAAATACCAAATTTAAAGGAGATTTAATTATTTATTTGTAAATACTCGAGATATCTTTTATTACAAGCTAATCTTATAAAGATGAGTTTTGTGTAATGTTAAATAATATAGTGGTTTTAGAGCAAGTACCCATTTTTATTTTTTTTTAATAATTCTTGTTACAAACGAGGTGATTAGAAAAGTAAGAAATTAATGTAAAGTCACTATTTGAGAAAATAAGCCACCGTGAATATAGGTTCTTTAAGAGAGGTGAACTATAATTCATAAAAAAATAAGTCCGGTAATCTTTTATCGTTAGATTAATTAAAGCTTATTTTTGAATTTATAAGTACTTTGAATATATATATATATATATATATATATACACACACAAAATATAATTTTAAAATAGCTTATATTCAAAAGAGGGCTGTGGCATCTATGCACATAGAACAAGGTGACAATTGAGGGTGCTTGCTTTACTTGAGACTTATGTTGGTAAAGAAACAACCTTAATTTAAAGACCCTTTAGAATTATTTAATTACTTTTTTTTCCCAAGGGATATTGTTCATTTTAATAGAATGGAATAAATAATAAAAATAATTATATTTGATTAGTTTTTTTTTTTAATCATTGCCAATATGCGCAAAAGAAAAAAGAAAAAAAAAAAGAAGAAGTATGGATGATAAAATAACTTTATTTTTCTATTAAAATGTATGATTTTAGTCTAAATTGATTCCAAATATACCCTTCAATACATGCAGAGAAATCAAAATCCTCTTTCGGGGGCGTTGCCCCCGAGCCCCCACGGGGAGCGCTGCCCCCTCGACCCCCCGCAACCTAATCTCACGTAGGTCGATCCCCGTTTGTGCGCCCGAAGTGGCGAAGTGGCAAACAATTTTGCCTAAACGGATTAAGTCGAGCTTTTGAGTACTTGGCCGAAGTCGATACGAAGTCACTTTAATCGATTTTCAATTCTCGATTTATTTAACCAATATCCAACATGGATTTACTATTTAGACATCTTTTAAATGAGGGAATACTTGCGTTTAATATCTATTAAGCCCCCGTTTGGCCTCCATTATATTTTATCAAATTTAATTAAATTTTTCTCTCTCCTATTTTAAATCACACAATTTTCAATAAAATAATATTACATGTAAATCAAAAACTTTTTATTTTTTTACAACCATCCATTTTTCAAAAAAAAAAAAAAATTCACTATTTCCACATTATAATTAAAATTAATGGGGGCCAAACGGAGGCTAAATAAAGAGCATTAGTAGACAAATTTATTGGAGACATCTTTTAAATAAGGAAAAATTTGCATTGAGTACCTATTGAATAAATACCAAATTTAAAGGAGATTTAATTATTTATTTGTAAATACTCGAGATATCTTTTATTACAAGCTAATCTTATAAAGATGAGTTTTGTGTAATGTTAAATAATATAGTGGTTTTAGAGCAAGTACCCATTTTTATTTTTTTTTAATAATTCTTGTTACAAACGAGGTGATTAGAAAAGTAAGAAATTAATGTAAAGTCACTATTTGAGAAAATAAGCCACCGTGAATATAGGTTCTTTAAGAGAGGTGAACTATAATTCATAAAAAAATAAGTCCGGTAATCTTTTATCGTTAGATTAATTAAAGCTTATTTTTGAATTTATAAGTACTTTGAATATATATATATATATATATATATATATACACACACAAAATATAATTTTAAAATAGCTTATATTCAAAAGAGGGCTGTGGCATCTATGCACATAGAACAAGGTGACAATTGAGGGTGCTTGCTTTACTTGAGACTTATGTTGGTAAAGAAACAACCTTAATTTAAAGACCCTTTAGAATTATTTAATTACTTTTTTTTCCCAAGGGATATTGTTCATTTTAATAGAATGGAATAAATAATAAAAATAATTATATTTGATTAGTTTTTTTTTTTAATCATTGCCAATATGCGCAAAAGAAAAAAGAAAAAAAAAAAGAAGAAGTATGGATGATAAAATAACTTTATTTTTCTATTAAAATGTATGATTTTAGTCTAAATTGATTCACTTTGGACTATGATAAGATTGTTTTTTTAACCAATGCTACTATTTGGGATTAAAAGCCTTGCGAGTAAGTAATTTTAAAATTTATAGCCTTTTAAGTTGTGAAAGTTGACAGCAAGCGAATTACTTATTTCTTTCTTTCTTTTTTTCTTTTTTTATGATGGGAGAACCAGCACCCGCTACTCTTCGGATGCGCACTAGGTAAACCCTTGGACTGACATAATAGCCTATAAATCACGTCTGTCAGGTAAATCACACTAGGCAAGTCAAGTGTGACAAACTCGACTGAGAAAATATTGGTAGGGAGAATCCATAGCAGAGCCAGAGATTTTGTTCAGCGCAAGTATAGCTACAGTGATTTTTTATTTTTATTTTTTTTGTCAAAATTAGTTTATGAAAGGGTTCAACAATTTCTTAATATTTCTCACAAATCAAAAAATTTTCAATATATATCCTTTTCATTTCTCACAAATAAATCACAGTCCACAACCACGTATTATCACATATTCTCAAATTCACAAAATTCCCAATTTGCATAAATCATAAACCTCAACAATCACAATCATAAACTCATAAAATATAAATAATAATTCATAAATGATAAATCAATGAACTAAAGTCTAAAAAATAAAAACCAAAAAATAAGCAAGAAAAAGGACAAGAGGCAGAGAATGGAGTCACTGGACTCACCGGAGGCTAACAAGTCATGGAGAGGCGACATGATGGTCTTGGTCGTTCGCAGTCGACACGACAACTGGTCAACGAGCGGCGCAGCAGAAGGTGTTTGCCGGCTTTCAGCTTCTAGCTTTCTTCCTTTGTTATTTGAAATGCCAATTGTAAAAGAATACAATATGTACTATTAAACCAGGACCTGGGCCAACTAAGTTTTCTAAAACAAGAGGTCCAACACTCCAAAAGAAAATACCCATAATTAAGAAAAGGCCCAATCCACTCTCCTTCATCTTCCAAACTCAACACTTTTTAACTGCCGTCAAGTTTCTTATCAATGGCTACTGCCTGCTACTGTAATTCTTCCTTCTTGGTCCTATCACCAGTGCAGGCACAATGAAATTTTCTGTGTCAACCCCAAAGTCCAGTGCGGGCAGGCGCCTGCACTGGACTCTATGTGGCTCCGCCCCTGGGGGGAATCGAACTCGTGATCAGAAGTCTCTGCGCTCACCTACTCCATCAACTCGACAATCCCATGAGGAGCGTGGATTACTTATTTCTTGTTTTGTTTCTTTTGATAGATATATTTGTATAGAGGCTTTTATTAGCCTTAATTTTGGCATGGATTGTTAATATTAAAAGAAAACATAACAATTTATCGTGAAATTTATTGTGGTTTTTTTTTTGAATTTTGAATTTTTAATTATATGTACAGATTGATTTGTTTCATGTTTTGTAATTATTGAACTCGTAATATTAAAGTGAACTTGTATAAAAATATTCAGCGAAACCACTGTTAACTTACAAGGGGATGGAACATGGTTAACTCCTTGATTTGTTACCATATATGTACAATACATATTCAAGAAAAATTATTAATGATTTATATTTTTTTTCCCGTAATGTATGAAAACATCTTTAAAGGAAACGAAACTTGTTCATTTCATATATATAACCTTTTAAGAAAGAAATTTCTATTCATAATAGTATTATTTTAACACTGCTATAAAAAAAATTATAACGTTGATCACTTTAAGAAGCAATGGTTTCTTCTATGGCAAAAAAATTTAAAGAATATAATGTTGGAAATTTGTATAGAATTTAATTATTTAAGCAAAAATCGTTAGTCGACGATTTCAGCTGTAATTGTTGGTAAATTTAGTAGAATATAACAAAATATTCTAGAATATGTCCAGTTGCAAAGATGTATATTTTTTATATGAAAGATCATAACTTTTGGAATTGTTATTTTTAATAAATGTCTTCTGAATTTTCATATGGAAGATTATAGCTTTTGGAATTGTTATTTTTCAATACGTGCGCCTTTCACTGAGACTAATTTCAATAGTTACATCCTTTTGTTTTGTCATTTGAGACATAACTTTCCAACAACTATATACAAATTCCATGTATTTGAAATTTTCATTCATCGTCTTAATCCTTGCATTATCACATTAATATATATTCACTTCCAAAATAATTTTTGCTTTTATTTTGAGTTGAATTTCACATAAAGAGTTCAAAACATCAGTAAGTTCATTGGTCTACATAATTTGTGTTACATCTATTATGAGAGGTGATCGTTGTACCTTGAAAAACGAATGTCGAAAAATTGTCAACACATGCACGAGATATAGTAAAATGTTAATTATTAAAATATAATCTATGCTCGTTAATTTTCCTAACATATAATATAAACATTATGTGATCATAATATATATACAGTCCAAANTTATTAAAATATAATCTATGCTCGTTAATTTTCCTAACATATAATATAAACATTATGTGATCATAATATATATACAGTCCAAAGCCTATCATATTGTCCGCACCCAACACCGTTAACTTATTAGATATCTTGGCCCTTTTATTTGATTTTGGCTGAGTACGAAACTAAGGTGCTTCATCAATTACCCTAATAATGCACAACACTAACCAGCATAATGCACATGTGAAGAAAAAGGTAACACTTTCAAATGTTACAGAGACAACATAAATCAGTGATTGTTTGGGAGAGATTTTTTCAAGTGAAAATTATTTACTTTGGGAGATTTGCTGAAATGAAACACTGCTAGAAGTAGCAGGATACCAGGGAAAAAAATGGAACACTACTTTCTCCAATCAATTGCCATGCTCTAAGATGATAATTCTATGGCATTTGATTACTTGTTACATTTGCTAATCCATCAGATTCTAAATGTAACTCAGTCCTAGGTATCATCCAACCTCCATTCAACTTGTGAAGGAAGAAGTATCAACAGTTGCCGTTAACTGATCACAAGACTGATCGGGAACATATGTCAGTCATGGCGAGTAGAATCTCGCTCATAACATATCACGGCCCTAAATTTCGGTGTCAAACTGGTTGCTCCAGTTTGATGAAATGCAGGAGCAGAGGTAGCTTGATGAAATTGCTGAACCATCATGGTATTTCCTTACTAATGCCTTTGGCTGGTTGAATGACATTTTTTGCATTTTTCTCTAAGAGGTGAACCAGTGAGACGAAAATCTCCATCCTCGTCACATCCCTGTTAGCCTGCTGGAAAAAGGTATAAAATTTAAGCTTGAAAGTAAAAAATCTCCATCCTTGTCACATCCTTATCACCAGATTGTAACTGACTTTTTCTTTTTTAAGTTCAGCAAGTAACTTGAAACAAAATGTTTAATGATCAACATGAAACTTTGCTAACATTGACTGCTAGTGTTTTTAACTTCCTGAGATTAGATAAAAGAAGTATAATAGCAAATGCTAAGCCTCTCGTCCTTGAACCCTTCCAACCAAAACCACCACCATAAAGAAAAAGAAAAGCCAGAAAAAGAGAATATTTCGACTTGTCAATGAAAACTTCAACATTAGATAGTACAAGTCGGATAAAATCATGTTTTGGGGTAATCATAAGACTTTCATGGAAGTCAACATATATCTTTGGAGAAATCGTAAAGGAGATCAAGCCCAACGAATTCATAACTATTACCTCCACAGCAAAGTGTGCCCATATATTGTCTTTCCGAGTTTCCATAACCCCCTTCAAAATGGTTAACCCCAACCCTCGAATTACGTCAGCAATTTCTAAAAACAAACCTCTCTCTTCACAAAGCATCTGCCACAAAGGAAAACAGTGAGGAAAAGAACAACAAACATCTGCCACTGTGTACAATGGCCAGTAACAGTTATCACGTGGACTTGAGATGTAACAGAAGACAGTGATTACCTCCACAAGCATTTGACGGGGTTGATTTAGATCTTCAACTATGATAGGGCATACCATAGCCTGCGAACCAACTTCATATGCCCAAGTTGCTCCTCCTTCAAAGTTATCTTTCGAGAGCAAACCGCCATCCTTGCTAACAATCTGAAGCTTAAGAAGATGAACAATCTCATATTTATTTCTCAACTTTCCTATGTAAAGCCTATTGAGATGTCCATTGGACATTGTATTACTCTTCTTGCCAACTTTTGCATTCTAAATTTCCATATTAATATGTTTTTCATAAAATTCACATAAACTGTCTGCTAATGTAGATTATAATAAAAATGTTTGGCTAAGCCTAAAAAAATGAAAGTACTTCTGTAGAAAATAAGAATTTTATAAAATTAAGTTTTAGAACTAAAAATTCCCCAAAAAAGTAACTTCCGAAAAAGCTCAACATGTTTGGCAAAAAAATTCTCTCTTTTCAGTAAGGCCAGACATGCTTTATATCTCTGAACAAAAACAGCATCTCTCAAGTCCAATTCGCTCAATGCATAACATAGGTCAAAAAGTAGTATCCAACACTCGAGAAAAACAAGTCGGTATCTCGCACCTTTGGCTCTCCTGTTTGTTTCAGCTTGTCTGCATGCCTTGTGACATTTTGCAAAAAAAGCATATGCTTGATAGTCCGTTCGAGAAGAGCATCAATGCTACACTGTTGACCAAATCAATAGAATTACTACAGGATATAAGAATTATCTGCCTATAGAGACAAGGAAATAGTTTGAGCCAAAGACAAGAAATGTCACCTTTGCCCCATTTGGCACAATTTCCCTTAATTCCTTTACACGATCTTGGATCATCTGGCGATCCTTCGGCCTTGGCCTATGATTTTCTCCTGGTTTAAGCCTCTTGCGATTTGTTTTGCACATTTCATCAGGCTTCTTAGAGTATCCTGTAGATGCACAGCTACTCTGTTTGATGTCCTGACCCTTTACAACTGATGAACTTATTTGTGATCCATAAATGGAACTATTCAGGGAATAGGTGCTCGAATAATCCTTAGAAGATCCAGATAAAAATGAACAACTCATTGCTTCTGCTTCTGCCAGATATTCTGGAACACCAAATAACTCTTCCTTAATTTGATCAAGAACCTGAGCCTGGCTGTAGGGGAGTTCAACATTAGGTCTGCAGTGGCTACTGTTATTTGTCATTGTTGTCCTGCAAGAAACATTATCATCTGAGCGCTGCTTAGCAGAAGAATGAACCTCAGAGACCACAGCGTCTAACAGATGTTCACTGCCATTGGAGTTTCCACAGTTAAGAGAATATATTTCGGAAGCAGTGTCCTGAGCTTTTACAGATGGAGAATTTTTTTTATCCAGATTAACCATGTTCGAGT